TCGGATGAGCTGTAGGCCCAAGTGATATCTGATGTAATTTTGTCTTAAAAGAGGCCTATAAGTTGATCTTACCAAACACCATCTATTAGTGCAAAACTAATATGGCGAATTTAAAGTTACGAAGTTGTAAATTGTTTTAAGTTTATAAAGTATCATATTTTTCTACTTTTGTTTGTTTAGTTCTAAAGTATCCACTTGAACGTATAATTTAATGTTACAATAGTATAATTTTAAAAAAATATAACTTATAATTCGAACAAAATAATGACCGATTTATTATAGACTTTGCCTAATTAACAAACAAATAAGAGATACTTCCTCAAATTGAAATGGAGGTAACACAACTTAACACCATAATCAAAGTTAGCACAATGCAACTTGTGAATAAATTTTTTTAGGTTATTTAATAGTGGACATTTTGGAGTCTTTTCTCTATGTTATCATTTTATGTACTAGACATAACATCTAAATTAGAAAATAGAGAGTAACGCTATGCTATTAAACTCGTACATAGACCAACTTTCCTCGTATTTCTTCCTACATTCAATTAAACTTGCCAGAAAAGCACATGCATTCAAAGAAATTCCTGTCAGATTGTTTACTACGCACAAGAGAAGTAGGATTACTACTCCTTTTCAGCTGCACCACATGCTCTTTCTTAATCTCTTTGCCTTCACTAACGACTTTAACTTGACAGAAATCTGGTGCATTCTTTTGAACATATTCTCCTACTCCATGTCCCTTCTTCACTCGTCTGTAACGAAAATAAAAACACCAGAACTCTTTAGTTCTTCAAATTCTAACTTATACAGATCAAAATTGGATAAAAATATCAGATGTGACTATGAGAGAACTATATTTACATGGTGGAAAGTGATCGCTTAGTTCCAATCACAATGCTTGTAACGTTGACGACAGTGATTAGATCAAGTAATGTTTTGGCTGGTGACTTGCTCTCCACAAGTACAGTATCTACTGGTACCTGCATATCAATCCCGAGTCAACCTCTTTTTGTTTGGCAAGAGGGAAACCTGCGGCCGCTATAACCTCTGTCACAGCCTCTACCCTTCGGGTGAGCACTTTGTGCGCACTGGGTAAACCTCCCCTTGTGTAATAGTCTGCAAACCACACATGGGATGTAAACCGCACTAGGCAAGCCCTGTACGACAGGCTCAACCCAGAAGGCATTGAGAGGAGATTCGATCCCAGGTCATCCGTGTGGATGACCACCCTCCTCCAAACCAATTGGGCAACCCCAAAGGTTTCCCCGTCAACCTTTGATTTTGGCTAAAATGGGAATTTTGCAGATAATGTAGAAATGAACCTACCTTGGCATCATTGCATAGGCGGATGTATTTTTCTAAGAGATTTTTCCTCCTGTTACTCTCTTGATTGATGTAGGCTTGCACCTGCTCTCTGCTCAATTGGCTTTTTGATAACTTTCCAACTTTCAAAGCAAAATTCAAATTGTTAACAAGTTGGTCAAAAAAATTTTTTTTTTTTGTTGCTTTTTCTACATTAATATTCCACCCTTTTTGCTAAAGTTTGTTCAAAAACCACGGAAATTTTAGTTGGAATACAAATGACTGCAATGTGCTACCAATTTCATTTATCGCAACTAGCCCCTTAATTTACGAAGGACCAGATACATTGTGACATAACCTATGCTTCTTGTCAAGGTAGGCAGCTTTTAGTTTTGTCGTTAGCTACTACAAGGTAAGAGGCACCATACTTTGGGTTGGCTCATCTCCAGAGAAAATAAACATATACCGTCGAACCTCTACATAACAATCATTCACTATAAAAATTAAGTTTTTCTTGGACCCAATTTTTATAGTATGTGACAATATATGTCTTCTATAGCAACACTTCTTTATAACAGCAAAAAATATCGGAACAAATGAGGTTGTTATAGAGAGGTTTGAGTGTATATGAATAATTTTGTTAATTCATGTTAATACTCTTTGAGCCACGCATCTTCATGCGATCAGCCTGCCGCAATCAATAGTGTATGCAGAATTTTGTTCGAGAGATGTTGACCGATTATCATAACCAGCTTGTATGTGAGTTTGGGTCTAGAGTTTTAAGACTTTGCTTTCTATTTTAAATTGATATTTATTTTATATTATTTTCAAGTGGTGTTAGTCTAGTCACATAAGCAAGGAATTGAGCAGAACATTAAATATCTAATCATGTAACTAAAAACTATTCGTATTCTGGGATTCCCTCTTTTGCTTGATGTACAGATTATCCTAACTTAACATTCCCCTGATTTCTTCAATACATCATTCTGTAAAGCTGTAGTAATCAATGGAAAAAGTAGTGAAGACACAGTATGAAAAACTAACACAATTTTCCTATGCCTGTGCTACTGTTTTGGATGAAGCATCAAATTCAAACTAAATTGACAAATGGAGTAAAAATTACCTGGTGAAGGAATGTAAGTAATAGGAGGGAAAATATGGACAAGGCAAATGCGAATTCCTGGGGAAATAGCATGATCAAGCGCCCATTGAAGAACATGCAAGTCATTTTTGCCAACAGCTACATAAACATCATTCGTTATTCCTCCACAATCTTTGTTACTTACTTCACTCTTGCTATCTTCTCCAATCTCTTCTATTTCCCAAGACATCTCTTTTCTAAATCTTGATGCTATTATTGAAGCAGTGAATTATACTCCCCCATCTCTTCCAGTCCAAAAAGGGAAAGAAGAAATGGCTTAGTGGGGACTGAGGATAAATATTGTGGACTTAAAAAAAAGGGAGAAAATATGGAAGAAGGAAACAAATATTAAATGCTTACGGAATTGGCCGATTATGAGGAAAATAAACAAAGGTCGTCGTTATCGAAGACACAAAGTAAGGAAAAAGGTTTTGATTCTTTCTTTTGTCAACATTTGCAGGCTTTTAAACATGTCACATTCTATATACCAACTGTGCATGCCTTTTATGTAAAAAGAAAATTTGCTTTTCCATTTCTCTAGTGCAACATGCTTCTCCTTGCTATTTTCTCTTTGGACCGACCTCAGATAGCGATCTATGAGGCAATGAAACCATCTAGTTTGTTTTTAATGGGAATTTAAGCTTTTTGCACGAGGTAAAGTGTTTTTGGACCATATCATGGTGTTCTAAAAATGCAAACCAATGGCTAGTATTGAAAGAAAGAATAGAAAAGTTGAAGAAATTTTCTGTATATTTTCGATTGAATCTCTGGACTGTACAGACTATTCCTTATATACAGCAAAGAATGGAATCTAAGGTATAACTACTTGTACACTTGTCTATCATTCTATTGGCTACTCTACAACAAACCCACATGTTATTTACAAAATAAATAAATTATGCAAAAATATAAAAAGGCTAATCTTATCTTCAGCTTCTTCTTGTGAGTCCAAACGAATCAATTTATTGAGCCCAATAAATGTGAGCCCAAGAATAATACAGAAACCCAATATCTTCATAAGGTCTGGTCAAGGCATTAGTTACCGTTGATGTCCTCCACGTGTCTTGATCTCAGCTACTCAAAACCTTCACAAGAATTTTCAGACATCAAATGTATCGAACTTCCATCAGATACCAGACTTTACCCTTCTGTCAAAATGAGCTCTTCTCTTCTTTATTCCTTTTCTATATCTTTGAGCAAAACTCCATGAATCCCAGAATCAGAATGGGGTTTTGTCTTCCCAATATCCCCCCTCAAGTTGGAGGGTAACCTGGTGACCCCCAACTTGTTCAAAATCTCTGAGTGAGAAACCCGTGAAAGTGGTTTTGTGAAAAGATCCACCAGTTGGTCTTTAGAAGGAACAAAAGATAGGGTAATTAAGCCGGAAAGGAACTGTTGACGCCCAAAATGGCAGTCAATCTCCACATGTTTTGTGCGTTCATGGAAGACGGGGTTCCGGGCGATGTGAATGGCTGCTTTGCTATCAGAATGAAGAGATATGGGGAGATTTACTGGTGCTAACAGATCCTCAAGAAGACGAACAAGCCAAGTAAGTTCTGTAGTTACTCTGCGGATAGATCTGTATTCTGCCTCTGCAGATGACAAAGAAATTGATATTTGCTTCTTTGATTTCCAGGAAATTGGTGCTCCTCCTAATGTGATGAAAAATCCACTTACAGACCTTCTTGAATCCTTGCAGGAAGCCCAATCAGCATCACAAAAGGCAAGCAAAGAAAAGGATGGTGCTGCTGAGAGAAGGATTCCTTGTCCCGGATCTAAGCTTAAGTATTTCAACACTCGTAATGCTACAGTGAAGTGAGAGAGACATGGCTTCTGCATGTACTGGCTTAGAGTGAGAACTGCAAAGGAAAGATCTGGGCGAGTGTTAGTCAGGTAGTTTAACTTCCCAACTAGATGTCGATACACTGTGGGGTTTTGCAAAGGTCCTCCATCATCAGCTTGAAGTTTGGAAGAAGGGTCAAGAGGAGAGGTAACTCGAGCCAAGTGAGAAACTTCAAACTCATTCAGCATGTCCAAGGTAAATTTTCTTTGACTCACAATGAATCCTTCTTTTTCTCTCAGAATTTCCATCCCTAAAAAATAATGTATGCTTCCTAGATTTTTGACTTTGAATTCAGTGTTTAGAAAATCCTTGATGTGTTTGATCTCTTCCAAATCATCTCCAGTTAGTAGGATGTCATCTACATAGACATCTAGTATAGAAATCAAACTTCCCGTTCGTTTAAAAAACAAAGAGTAATCATTTAATGATGAAGAATACCCCTTAAAACTCAAAGCCCCTGCAAGCCTGGCATACCATTGCTTGGATGCTTGCTTCAATCCATATAATGACTTCCTTAGTAAACAAACATGCTTAGGACTAGGAGGTGTTAAACCTAAAGGAAATTTCCTGTACACCTCCTCCTGAAGATCACCATGCAAAAATGCATTGTTGACATCCAATTGAGACACATTCCAGTCTCTTTTGGCTGCAATAGTGAGCAAACATCTTATGGTGGTCATTTTGACCACTGGTGAAAATGTCTCTCCATAATCTAACCTCTCTCTTTGGACACCCCCCCGACCACCAGCCTTGCCTTTAATCTTTCAACTCTTCCATCTAATAGATGCTTCACCTTGTACACCCACTTACAAGGTAGAGCTCTTTTCCCTTTGGGTAGCTCAACTACAACCCATGTGTGGTTGTCTTCTAGAGCTTTAATCTCTGAATCTATAGCTGCTATCCAACCTGGATGCTGACAAGCTTGTCCAAAACTGTTAGGCTCTGTAAGTGTAGATATTGACTGCATGACATGTTGATTGTTGGGAGATAGGGAAGAAAAACAGTACTCCCTAGGTTTAGTTGGTTGAGTGAAACAAGCAGCTCCTACATCTGTGAACATGATATTACTGCACACATAGTCTCTTAGGTAAGTTGGTTGATTGGAAACCCTTCCTGACCTTCTCATTGGTGTAGGCTGTTTAGGTTCAGGAACAGGTGATCTAGTATGTGATGTATCTGGGATAGGTGGAAAAGAAATTGGACTAGAAGGTAAGTAAGGATGGTGAGGTGTAGATGAAGAACTTGGTGATGGTGAAGAAAAATTATCAGAAAGTTCAGGTTCTAAAGAAATAGGTGAGAGATGATCCTGTGGTGGAGGTGAGTAGGTGTATTCTGTACTGAAGGTTGAGTTTGGGAATATAGGCTGATGTGAATGTCTGTTCTTAGCAAAAGGAAAATGTGTCTCATGAAACTTGACATCCCTTGACACAAATACTATTCCTGTTGATAATTCTAGTAGCTTATATCCTTTTTGATGAAGGGGGTATCCAAGCAAAACACAGGTTGTTGCTCTCTCATCAAACTTTCCTCTTCCTTGTGCTAATGTTGAAGCATAACAAAGACATCCAAAATTCCTAATATAATCATACTTAGGCTTCTTCTGAAACAAGACCTCATATGGTGTTTTGCCTTTAAGAACACTGGAAGGCATCCTATTAATAAGATGTGTGGCAGTTAGGATAGACTCTCCCCAATATGACATAGGCAACTTTGATTGAAACATCAAACCTCTTGTAGTTTCCAAGAGATGTCTATGTTTCCTTTCAACAACTCCATTTTGTTGGGGAGTTGCTACACAAGACAACTGATGTAGAATTCCTTGAGAAGCTAGGAAAGCTGCCTCTTGTATACCTTTCCCCAGTTCCATTGCATTATCAGATCTTATCACTTTGACTTTCTCATTGAATTGTCTCTCAACCATAGATAGAAAAGATTTAAGCATAGGAAAAGCATTACTTTTAGCACTTAATAAAAATGTCCATGTCCCCCTACTATAGTCATCTACTATAGTGAGGAAATATCTGAAACCATTGTAAGTATTTGACTTATAAGGTCCCCATGTGTCAATATGTATAAGTTCAAATTTGTGTTTGGAACTTATTTTACTGACAGGGAAAGGGTTTCTGGTTTGCCTAGCCTTAGGACACACATCACAAACAAACTCAGAATTAGATTTACAATGAAGGAAATCTAAATGTTTCATTGCTGAAAATGGGAGGTGACCCAATCTTACATGCCAAAGCGTAACATCTGAAACAGCATTGACTAGGACTGGACTAGAAAAAGAAACAGACTCTGAAATGGAATTTCTTCCTTTTGGAATTGAAAGTACATCACTACTGAATAAACCCTTAGACTTAATACTACTTGGTTCCAATAAGTAGAGCCCTTCTCTAACTTCACCAAAAGCTTGAGGACTCTTCATTGAAAGGCCCTGCAACACACACTCAACAGATGTGAAAAACACATCATATTTGAATTGAACACAAAACCTATGAACTGATAACAAACTATATTTGAATTCTGGAACATGCAATACATTGTTCAGAATATGACCAGGCAGAATAGAAATGCTCCCTATCTAAGTAACAATCACCTTGAAAGAGTTAGGTAAACTGATATTCAAAGGTACAAGGGAGTGGAGACAGAAACAAGAAAGAATTAGGATCAAAACACATATGCTCTGAGGCACCTGAATCAATGATCCAGGTGTCTGATTTTAAACTAGTGAAAACTGACCTTGAGTACTTTAGAATAGTACCTGCTACTGCATTAGCATTGATTCCTGTATTTCCTGCCTGTGCCATCTTTGCTTGCTTATAGATGTGCATCATTTCTGCAACCTGTTCTTTGCTGAGTTGCTGACCGAAATTATTCCCATTAAGTTCATTGCCTTGTCCTGCTGGGCTTTCATGCTCTTCATTTGCCATCACTGCATTTCCCTTAATCTGATTCTGATATCCTTTGTGATTTGTGAACTCAAAATCATCAGGAAAACCAATGATTCTGTAGCAATCTTCCTGTGTATGTCCTGTTTTTCCACAATAAGTACAGGACACATTTGGATTGTATTTCTTCTTTGCTTTGAACTTCTGCTAAGGCTTAATAAACCTCTGTCCAGAGTTGTTAAATTTGGGTCCTCTGGTTGCTCCCCTTTGTGTCTGGTTTCTGAACTTCTGATGGTTTTTCCCTTGTCCTGTAGTCATGAAAGCTGCAAAATCAGCTAGAAGTTGTGCATTAGGCTCTTTGTTCTCTCCTGCTGCCATGAATGACACTGATTGAGAGTTAAAATGTGCATTTGCATAGACTTCCCTTTGATTTTCATCCTGTAAGAGGAGTGAATAAGCAACATCCATGCTAGGCAAAGGGTTCATCATGAGGATGCTTCCTCTTGCTTGTGCATAGATGTCATTTAGTCCCATTAGGAATTGGATCAACCTCTGATCCTCCAGTGACTTAGTTAATTTTGCCTTTCCTTCACAAACACAAACACAAGAGCAGCATATGATGACATTCAAAGCATCCAATTCATCCCACAAACGCTTGAGCTTAGTGAAATATCCTGCAATATCACTATTTCCCTGTACTAATCCTGATAGTTCTTTTTGCAGATGATAGAGCTTAGCTCCATTTGATCTCCCAAATCTCCGCTCAAGGCTGTCCCAAAGCTCTTTTGCAGTTTTGGAATAAATTACACTATCTGCAATATCCTTTGAAAGAGCATTAAGGATCCAGGAGATGACCATGTCATTCACACAACTCCATTGTTCAAGTTCTGGAGAGTTCAGATCTGGAGATTTGCAAACTCCATTGATGAAGCCAAGCTTCTTCTTAGCTGACAGGGACAAGAGAATGGATCTTCTCCATCCTGGGTATCCTCTTCCATCAAATACTGTATTGACTAGAGTCATACCCGGAGAATCAGAATTATTGAGGTGATAGGGGTGATTAACATCATAGGTCACAGCCTTTGTAGCATTGTTGGTCTCTGCAGTGATGGTTGTGTCACCCATTTTGTTCTAGTGAAAAGCCGATGTAATAGATAGATTAATTGATTGTATTACTGGATCGAGCTAGCTGCTCTGATACCATGAAAGAAAGAATAGAAAAGTTGAAGAAATTTTCTGTATATTTTCGATTGAATCTCTGGACTGTACAGACTATTCCTTATATACAGCAAAGAATGGAATCTAAGGTATAACTACCTGTACACTTGTCTATCATTCTATTGGCTACTCTATAACAAACCCACATGTTATTTACAAAATAAATAAAGTGTGCAAAAATATAAAAAGGCTAATCTTATCTTCAGCTTCTTCTTGTGAGCCCAAACGAATCAATTTATTGAGCCCAATAAATGTGAGCCCAAGAATAATACAGAAACTCAATATCTTCATAGGGTCTGGTCAAGGCATTAGTTACCGTGATGTCCTCCACGTGTCTTGATCTCAGCTACTCAAAACCTTCACAAGAATTTTCAGACATCAAATGTATGAACATCCATCACAGACCAGACTTTACCCTTCTGTCAAAATGAGCTCTTCTTCTTCTTCTTCTTCTTTATTCCTTTTCTATATCTTTGAGCAAAACTCCATGAATCCCAGAATTAGAATGGGGTTTTGTCTTCCCAATAAGTATTTACTATCATTTGATTTTCCTTCCAATATGCCATATATCCTTTTTCCCGTAAGATTCAGGAAAATATAATAGCAGAGACTTGTGAAAATCCATCAAAAATCCTAATTTGTTATTATATCTCCGTTCTTCGGACTACTAGTTTGGTCACGTCTTGACGATTAGACAATTTAAAATCATCAATATCTTGTGATCACCGGTAGTCCTGAAATTATTAGGAGGGACTTTAGCCTTTAAGCTAAATTAATTCCTACGCTTGATTTGGTATCAACTAGTATGAAAAAGTTAGACAAAAAATCAGATAATATAGCTGATATTAAAGGCTTAATTAGCTAATTAATAAAATAAGACTGACTCATCTGAGTTTTTCTTTTTCTTTTTCCTTTGATCAGGTAAAGGTTTAAATTTTATTACTAAATAGCACCAAGAAGGTGCTTAAACTGTATAACAATAGTAATCACCAGTGTAGTACATTTCCAAATGCCGTGTTTCAGCAACCACCTGGCGTATACTTTGTAGCTATTGTTCATCTGTTTCCAAATGCTATTATTAATCTGAGTTTCCACTTAAGCTTTCTGTTGTAGCAGTTTTAGATATGCAGGGAGACATATTTTGGTGCGAATGTCACACACACAGATTTTTATAATCATCTAACTGAGCTCATATTAGTACACCATAGTTTATGGGATAATCTAATTACCAACCACATTGTAGGACCATCTCAAAAATATTTATGCTATGCAACTAAAAGCAAAAATCAGTAATTCACTGTTCTGTCTTGTTAACAAGAGCTCTACCAGTTCTTCCCTGTCTATAATGGGTCTGGTTATAGTCAACCTGTTAGAGTAGGGGGCATCTTTTTGGATCTCTTTTCCATCTACATGCGGACAAAGGTCAGACAACATAGGCTGTAGCAATAGTGGAGTGGACCATGTATCCACTACTGCAAATTGGTTCATCTGTTGTAATGAATAGATATGCTGATAATAGCATCCACTCAGCAAGCAAAGAAGAAGAAGATATATTCCCATTTTGAAAGCCATCACAAATGTCATAAGTTGATGGCATCATTATCCATCACCATCAATCTCATTTAAAACAGATCTAACTTGTTATTATATGAGAATTGATTCCAAAATTGATGGATGGTGCAGAACGCACAATAATTTCTGGGAGCAACAGATGCCACTGTTAATATAGGGTAAAACTTAACAGTTGTAAAGTAGAAATATTTTTCAAGCTAATAGTTGTGTAGGAGTTCTATTGTATAAGGGGATTAAGTGTATGATCTTGAAATACAAGGGATGTAATTTGCATTTGACTCATATTAGAAGGGTGTTCAGAATAATTTACCAGACTATATATATAGAAACTCGTTACATTCCATGTATAGAGTCAACTCTTCTTAAAAGATGACTAAAATTCCCTCTTTCCTCCTTAAATTGCTACTTGTCTTGATATTTGCTGGATGGGTATCACTTTGGCTTCTCAAGCCCACGCAACTATGGACTAAAAGTTGGAAGATTGCAGAAGCAAAGGCATCAACCTCATTCTTAACCCAAGCTGGTGAAGTTCTGATTTCCAAACTCAAATTATTTTAGATGTATAGGTTTAACTTCAACCTCACCATTTACATGTACAAGAAATGTTAATCTAATGTCCTGTTCAGTGTTAATCCCCTCCAAAAGAGTGAATGTTTTATCTTCCTTTTGAGGTCTGCAGGTCTTAATTTTGCTGTCTACACCTTCCCTGTTATTGCTATAGCTATAGTAGGTTTTATTTACTTGGAACTGAAACAAAAGGAACCAACCAGCAGGTATGCTTTTCACCTGCAGTATATATATAAGCATAATAATGTTGAATATAGGCACTTTCATGCAAACATGTGCTGAATTTGGTTGACAGGAAAGGAAGATCTTCACTATCTGTTCTCTCCAATCCACTAGTTGTGAGTAGGTATTTAGGAATTCTGTCTGGGTTTGAAATCCTTGCTGTATCTCTATTCGTCATCTTTCTAGCATGGACATTCTATGCGCGTATCTCCAGTGACTTCAAGAAGATGATACCAATTAAATCATTCACTTTGCACGTGTAAGTATAATCCTATATTTCCATGCAAATATGATAGCATCATTTGCAACAAAAGTATCAGAGTACTCTCTGATAATATTTTCCAACTCGGCTGTTTTCAGATGGCAATACAGAATCTTTAGAGTCGCAACAAGGTGTGGTTTATTAGCAGAAGCCTGCCTAGCTCTTCTTCTTCTTCCCATCTTGAGGGGGATGTCAATATTTCAATTAATTGGCATCCAATTTGAAGCTTCCGTGAGATACCACATTTGGCTAGGGACAGCAATGATATTATTTGCCACTTTACATGGTGGAGGTACTTTTCTAATCTGGGGTATGAAACATCGCATTGGAGATGAGGTAACCTCATGTAATCATTTGAACATTACTTCCTTTTTCAATTTAGTTTGAACATATGTATCTATGCTTTGTTACTAAGTCCTTTTTTGTGGAAAATTATAGATGTGGAAATGGCAAAAGGTAGGGCGTATTTACCTTGCCGGGGAGATCAGTCTTGTTACAGGATTGGTCATCTGGATCACTTCACTTCCACAGGTCAGAAGGAAACGATTCGAGATCTTCTATTATACACATCATTTGTACATAGTGTTCATACTATTTTTCCTGCTTCACGCTGGAGATCGCCACTTTTATATGGTTTTCCCTGGCATTTTTTTGTTTTGCCTCGACAAGATACTCCGAATAATTCAATCAAGGCCAGAAACGTATATTCTTTCTGCTCGAATCTTCCCTTCCAAAGCCATAGAGTTGACTCTGCCAAAAGATCCAAGTACAAAATCAGTAATCTCTCTCCAATTTAAATGCGAATATGCTTTCTTAATTCATGACTAGGCCTAAATAATCAACCTACTTAACACACTATTTCAGGGTTGAAGTATACACCAACAAGTGTGATTTATGTCAAGATCCCAAGGATTTCAAATTTTCAATGGCATCCCTTTAGCATAACTTCTAGCTCCAAAGTTGATAAAGACACTATCTCTATTTTGATCAAAGCTGAGGGACAGTGGACCAGCACTCTCTATAATATGCTACATTCAAAGACTGATGCAGAAGCTGATGGAATGAGGTTTTTTCACGTAGCAACAGAAGGCCCTTATGGACCTTCATCAATGGAATTTCTAAGGTAAAGGAAATGATGTTATTTCATGTTTGATTTTAGACCAAGTTATCAATCATATTTCCCCATATATAATAAGTTGTTGAATCTTCTGCAGATATGATAGTCTACTTCTAGTTGCAGGTGGAATTGGGGTTACACCATTCTTCAGCATTCTGCAAGAAATCACCTCAGCAAGAAGTAACAAAAATGTATTACCTGTAAAAGTACAGCTTGTCTACATCATAAAAGATTCCCAAAGCATCTGCTTGTTAGATCCAGTTCTACCGCAGGTTTTTGATGAAGAACAAAGTTATCTACAATTGAAAGTGTTTGTCACGCGGGAACACCAAGCCAACAGATCCCTACGTGAAGTGCTAGATGAGGTCGCTAAAATACAAACCATTCATCTCGCCAACAAGCGTTCTGGTTATGCAGTATATGGACTTGAGAACTTGCGATGGATGGCCGTCCTCCTTTTGTTGGTGTCTATCATTTTTCTAGCATTCCTTAGCATCTTCAACCATATTATTATCAGGCCTAATAAGAAGTCATCTGAACAGAAAACTGCCTCCTCAATAGTAGACGCTCTTCTCATATGCTCATTTGCATTAGCACTAATATCTAGCACCTTAGTGGCTACCTTATGGAGATGGAAGAGGCTAAGTGAAGAAATTACACCATTTTCTGGAAAAAAAAGAAAACCAATGAAACCAACAGAAGCAAGCAGAGGTTTTGATCAACATGAAATCCATTTTGGAGCAAGGCCAAACTTTAAAGGTATGTCCATGTCCTTGTTTTAACATTTAACTTCCAATCTATTGGCGTTCTAACATGTCGGAAATTGAACAGATATATTTTCCCAATTTGCTAATGAATCTAAGGGATCCAATATCAGTGTCTTCGTTTGTGGGCCTGAGACAATGAAAGAGTCCGTAGCTACAACTTGCCATCAATATTCTCAGACTTTCCAAAGCAAAGGACAAGAACAAAAGCCATCTTTCAGCTTTCACCCGTTAAATTTCACTCTCTAATAGTCTTTGTGATCATTGGTCGAACACATTGTCCACAAATGAACTAAATAAAGTCTTTGGCCTTGACAATCAAGTATCAACGAAGTACAGGTTTTCAGTTTCCTTGGATACTGAATGTTCCAAGGGATATCCCATCTAGTGACACATCTTGCAT